GGATCCAGAAGACTGCGCTCAGAAACGGAACAATGGGGGTATCATTGCCGTCACACCCACGCTGCTCTCTTAAACGCCCTGGCTGTTTCAGCTGTCGGTCGGCAAGCACCGCAGGGCTGCGGCATTTTGGTAAGACCTGCGAACTGTGGATGCTTGACCGTATTAATAGGATATGCGCTGCAGGGCTGCGGCATTCTGTAAGACCTGCGAACTGCAAGCGCAATCCTCTAATGGGGTTTGAAGTGCCCAATGTGGGCCACCCCTTATTTGTTTTTTCCGCATGTGTCATTTCACAGTCACAGTTCCTTTCTATTTCAATGCTCGCAGCCTGAGAGGTTTTTTCAAGCCCGAAGGGCGGCCTCCAGCTGCAACTCCTTTACTTTTCGTTTCCGTTACTTTGCTTTTAAGGCTACACAGCCAACCGCCCGCCCTCCTGCAAACCTCTGTCTTTTCTTTTTTCTTTTTCTTTTTCCGCAAGAGCCGAACACAAAAGCCTGCTGGCTACCCCGCAAAGCGGGGTGTGTGTGTGGAACACCTGTTTGCCAAGGTTTCAATGATTCATTCGTATACTTTCATGCAGGGGGCGCGGGGTCCTCTGACACAGCTCGCGCCAACGAAGCTCTGTGTCAGATGGACAGGCAAACGTACCTGCAGGTCAGTTCCTGGGTGCTGGAAGCACAGCTGGATTGGCCATCATATACCTCGTACTTGCATCTGATGTGGCAAGGGGCTAAGCCAAGCACCCCATTCTAGAAGTAACTGCCCTTGCGGCTAATCCTTTACCTCTATGATTGAAAGACTGAGTTCGACAATTACCAGTCCAGAGGGAGGATTGCACGAGTGTGTGTGTGTGTGTGTGTGTGTGTGTGTGTGCGAGTGTGTTGTGGGGGGGACGAGTTCTGGGATTTTCGGTGTTGGGTTGCTCCGCTAGCTTTCTTCGCTCCGAGGCGCATGGGCGACCTCATGGCCGAAGCTGCGCTTCTTGGCTCCGCCAGGTTTCTTTAATGTGAGGTTTCCACAAAAAGGGGAGAAGGAGGAGTTGAGGATGTGGGGAATGTGGGTAAGGGAGGGGGGTCGAAGCTAACCTCGCACGCTTTGAAGCAGTGACACAGAGTAGCATTTGACAAAAAACGCTAATAACAACAACAGTAAGACGAGAACAAAGAAGAATGTCAATCTTAGTGTATTGTACACTTCAAGTTCGGAGACGCATGGGTCTTGGCATTGGTTTGAGCAGCTAGCCCAAGGATCAAAAGAAGCTTTTGCCCAGCCCTCCAGTCAACAAGCTTCAGGGTTCAGCGCCCTTTGCTGCAAGATGGTCGAAGACCATGCCCTTACACTTATTTCTCAACCAGCACTCTGCCAATGTGATGATGCTTTTCTTGGCGCAGTCCTTAATTAAGAATGAAGTCTTCTCGCACACATACGCAGGAAAGAGCATTGATTCATTAAGCTTGATCCGCAAAGCCTCCACCCTAAACTCAAACCTCTGAAGTCCTGAAGTCAGGCAAGCAGAGGAGCTGCAAGCAGCCACCCGCAAGACGCTGCAGCACCTATGCTCGAAAGTTCTTTCCGAGCGTTCGGGTTGAGGGATTTGGGTTTCAGGGTGTTTAGCTTGTTCAGCGGGTGGGTGCAGGGGGGTGATAGGGGCTTTGCACCTGCAGTGGTTTAGGGGCCAAGGAGTCCGAGCTGCAAAAAAAGGGGTTTAGGGCATAGGGTTACGGTGTAGAGTTGCTTTGCTCAAGGCCTTGCTACTGCTTGAGAGGTTCGATGATCACAGTGTTCAGATGTGGAGTATAGGTCATTCCCAAGGTTCCTGATGATTGGAGCTAGTTTTTTGCGGCGGAGGTCCTTGTTGTGCACAGCCTTGAACCAGGGTCCATAAAAGTTAGCGTGCTTGAATCGGTTTCCAAATCCCTGTCTTAGGTTCACCGGTGTGGCAGCTGCTTGACAACTCCCAAGCCGTTGCCTGGAAAGCCTTATCACTTATCCAACCCACTCCCTACTGGTGGCCTATCTATTATAGATGCCTGAGAATGTTCCTGAACTTTGTTCCTGGGGCTCCTGAAGATGGCTATACTAGTCAGTCTATACTGGACTAAATAAACCCCCAAGAATCACACTCTAAGTTTTAAGGCACCCAGATGCATGCCCTTGCCCCCAGGCATCGTCTCCACGTCGCAAAGCTGGTGAAGGACCGGACCCTGTCGGGTTTAGAGTTGACGCGGTTTAGGGTTCAAACGGTTGGGGCTGAGGATTTCGGTGTTAAGAGTTCAGGGTTTAGGGCTTCCGGGGCTTGGGGTTCCATCGCTTGTGATGAGGTCTTGGTGTTTTCTGAGTAAGGCTTATGCCCTGCGGTTCGGGCGTTTTCGTTTTGAGTGGTCGCCATGATTACAGGTCCGGCTTTTCGGTCCTCCAACATGAATGCCAAACGCGAGCTTGCCGTTTGAAGAGGCGAGTATGTTTCTCTGGCCTTGGGCAAGGCGTAACGTATGTAGATCCATGTAACGTTTAGCAGCTTAGCATGCTGCGCCTTGGTATAAACCCAGAACCGGTCAATCTTCTAGGACAAGAAAGCCTTGATGATACCGCAGAAAACCGTGAGTCTATCTGCAGGATACTGCTGGAATAATCTCTATCTCTGCACAGTCGACAGGTTTCATGTCGCGAGGTGTTGGGCGTGCCTGGTGAAGTGCTTTGAGCGAGGGGTGCGATTTCAAGCAAGGACCCACTGTGCCCGAACCAAAGGCCGTCAAGGTCGAACCCAAGCTCCGAAGCCCTAAGCTGAAGCCAGAAACAGGCGCCGCAAAGCCGTGAAATTCCAAAAACCAGGACCAGCAAGCTAGACGGAAGAAGCAAAAGGACTTGCGGCGATCTCAGACTCTTCCGGTTGGGAGGAGTAGGCTTCGGTTGAGGTACTCGGGTAGAGGATTTGTCGGGTGTAGTCGCAGAAGGCGCAAGGCTAAAGGGACCTAGGGCCTGGGGTGTTCCGACTGTTCAGATTGTTGTTGGCGCTTGCCATGGAGCGTTTGGATCAAGGTTCCTGCCGAGCTCCTGGATTGGGAACGAAGGAAAGTCGGTGCAGAGCTACAGAGAGCTACACAGTGCCACACAGTGCGACACAGCGCCACTCGCAGCCATGGCAAGCGGGGAAATCGCTGTGATCGGCTCCTGCATGGTGGATTTGATCGCCTACACCGACAGCATCCCCAAGGCCGGCGAGACCTTGGTGGCCAAGGAGTTTGCCATGGGCTGTGGCGGCAAAGGCGCCAACCAGGCTGTGGCCGCCTCAAAGCTCGGTGCGCCGGTGCTGATGATGGCCCGCGTCGGCGACGACGCCTTCGCCGAGAACACGCTCACGAACTTCCAGAAGCACGGCGTGAGCACCGAATTCGTGAGCAAGGTCCCCGGCGTCTCCAGCGGCGTTGCGCCGATCTGGGTCGATGCGGACTCGCAGAATCGCATCCTCATCATTCCCGGGGCGAACATGCACCTGAGGCCCGCGGACATTGCCGCGGCCGGCGAGCGTCTGTCGAAGTGTGCGATGATCATCCTCCAGCTCGAGATCCCCCTGGAGACAGTCTATGCGGCGATCGACTTCGGTAATGAGCATGGCATCCCCGTGCTCCTTAATCCGGCGCCGGCAAGCAAGGAGCTCAACATCGACCACGCGTGCCGCTGCGACTTCTTCGTGCCGAACGAGACCGAACTCGAAATCCTCACCGGTATGCCCGTTGGCAACGACGACGAGATTGCAGCGGCTGCATCCTCGCTGCTGGCACGTGGCCTGAAGAACCTGATCGTAACCCTAGGCGACAAGGGCGCCTTGTGGATGCACGGCGAAGAGCGCCAGCACATCGGTGCGCCCAGCGTGGCGGCGGTTGACACCACCGGTGCGGGTGATGCCTTCATCGGCTGTTTCGCGGCGCAGATGGCGAAGGGCGTGAGCGTTGAGGCCGCCATCGGCGAGGCCATCCAGTACGCGTCCCACAGCGTGACCGGGAAGGGCACGCAGACGTCCTATGCCACGGCCGAGGAGTTTGCTGCCTTCAAGGGCTGAGCACCTCAGCACCTCTCTACCCAGTTTGGCAGCCGGGCCGGGCGTCAACGATTGCAGGCTCTATAGGTTTGGACTGCTGACACTGCCTGCAACGTGGAGAGTGCAGCCGCTGGTTGTGTTTCTGCATCTCGGAACCCTACGACGTCACGTTACCCAGAGGCGCGGCAGACTCGTAGTTGAAGGCTGCTTGGGCCAAAGACCGTGCTGGCTGAGGCTGTTTGGTTGCTTTAAGACTTTCAGCCTTGCGGCTAAAACCCTTTAACATCAGGAGCGTCCCGCGACACTGTAGACCTTGCTGGCGAGTCAACCTGCTCGTCATAGTAGATTTTTCTAGTAGGGATTCTTCAGTTGGGACCTTTGGGCTCCAGACGACTATCAGGCCTCAACACGGCACATAAACATAAAGATCCCACCCAGGAAACGCGTAGCTGCCACTCTGTTGGGTATGACATGATGAGCTGGAAACTTCTCGGACTTTGCAACCAAAAGAGATTCGGAAGATCTTTATGCTGTCACGGCGCTGACCCTCTAAACATGACTCTATCCGGCACCACATAGAGATCTCACAAACTTTGTCGCGGCTCGTTTTTGCAGACCACATAAGGATCTCACCAATTTTTCGTCATGCGAAAACTGAACCGGAGAACCAGGTTCCTACTCGTCCGTGAGCTCTTTATGTGAAATTTCTTTGTGTGCCCAGCTTGCTTCCCAAACTATGAACCTCCCTTCCCGATCTAGCCGTCGAAGAGTGATGAGCTTTTACTTCTTTGAGCTAGCGGCTAGCGTGACCCCGAAATCATCCAAAAGAGCCCTAAACCCGAGGCAGGAAAGGGACATGTCCAGTTTAGTGGAGTCGTATTTGGATGGGGGGCTATGTTTGTGTATGACAGCCCTTTCCCATCAGCTTCAGCCGCATCAAGTGGTTTCACAGATTGAAGTCATGACCACATGCCTCACCTGGATTGTCCGAGCGTGAGCGCCGAAACCCAGAGAACCACCAAACTCCGCGGAGACTAAGCACCCCAAGGCCCTCGAAGCTCAATCCCTATAAACCCTCGGAGTTCTTGACGCGTAGTACCACAAATCCTAAACCCCACGCCTAAAACACCTCACAACCTTGGCCCTTTACATATTAATAATAAGGCCCAAAACCCATTCCGTATACCCTCGCCCAGAAGCTGTTGGCCTCTCCGAGGATGAACGAGTTCAAGCGGCTGACGCAAGAGGCCTCGCAGCAGGGATCGCCTCTTCTGCTGACTTATCTTACCAATCATGGACTTAGTAAGTAACGTTAAAAGTACCTGTACCTTAATTGGGAATTGGGGCTATGAGTAATTATAAGTATAGTTAACTTGATTATAACCCTAGGTACTAAGTGACTCCCTTCTGTTTTGTATTTTGGGAGCTTCAGTTATGTGCTTGGTGTGGAGGTGGGATTGCATGGTCTGGAATCGGGCTTAGGCTTCAGGGCTTGCAGTTTACGGTTTTGGGCTTAGGGATGAGAAGGGTTTCGACTCGAGTCTTGTGGGCTTGACACTGAGCTGCAGGTTCAGGGCCAAGGTTGGGATTTTCGCGTTCATAGTAAGCCAGCACCCCCGACTGTGCATCGGCTTAAAACTCCGCTTGCGCGTTTGTGGAGAACACCAGGCTTTCTGTTGTACTACATGGGTCAGTGTACGCTTAACCCCTAGACCCTTGTGATAAAAACCGCTCAACCCCTACGTACACCCCCGAGCCATGAAAAAGACAGTGATGCCTAGGAATGAGGACCCAAAGAGCCTCAGAAACGGCAGCGACTCAAACCTACACCCTGCTGGCCTTCAGCTCAACAACAGCTATGTTTAGCTTCCTTTTTGTGGGCTCCTAGGAAATTGGGTTTAGGGCTTCGAGAAATTGACGGATCATATGCTTAGGTCTTTTTTTGGCCCGGGGGGGATGGGGGGGTGCTCCTAAGGAAGGCCCCATCTGAAGCATCAGACATTGGCCACCTGCCCTCCATGGGCGCCGCTCTCTCCGAGAAGGAGCCCGGATTGTTTGGAGATCACTTCTCCTGTCTATCACAATTACTTTAACCAAATTAGGGGGGTGATTAGAAATAGCAGCTTTAAGGTAAAATACGTTGGGGCTGAGGGGTTTTGTACAGGATTTCTTCCCTCCGCTGAGGATGGTGGATGGCATCGGGTTTCAGCACTGAGCCTGCGTTTAGTTCGAGGATATGGATCTTGGGCCTGTATACTAGGAGTTTCGGGATCAGAGCCAAGGGGTGTATTCCCGGCTCAAGAGTTCAAAGAGCTTTGGGACCTTAGTTTGGGGATTCCTGGGCTTGGGAGGTGCTGCCTTTGAATAACTGAAGCTATCCCGGCTGCCTGCGCGCCTGTTGGAGGTATTCATGGTGTGCCTGTCCCTAGGCCCCTAGCTTCAGGGTCCGTGGTTGCTGGGTTTCCGCAGTTGAAGCACGAGTGCATAGCTCATCCCTGAGAAACCCCTCCAAAGAGGCCAAGACACCCCCTTCAAGAGGACTCTGGTTTGGAATGGATCTGAATTGATTTCAGTTGCCTTCCCTTTGCGAGGAGGTTGGACGGACTGTTAGTGGTGGAAGCACTGGGCGACAGAAGCCAGGCGTCAATTTGTGATACGTTTTCATGTCCACAGTATGCTGTCAGTTCGAGATACCCAGAACTCCTTGGGAGGCCGTTAAAGCTACAACTATCTACAGAATCCGAAGAAGCCCAGAGTACGACCCAAGTGGGAGCCCCATCTTCTTCGTTGGAGGCCTGCACACATCTACCCCTTAACCCAAAAATCGATTCCTTTCACGCTAAGCCCCACCAAGCCCTAACCCTGAACCCGAAACCCCAAGCCACAGACCCTAAACCCAAAATCGATCCCTAAACCGCAAACCCTTAAACCCTCTCATTATACCCTAAACCTCACAATCCCTAAACCGTAAACATTTAAACCTTCTCATGAAGCTCTGAACTCTCAAAACCCTAACGGCCCCAACGCACAGCCCAGGAAGTCCAAGCTTTCCAATAACCGGACTTCATCTCGGCAATCCTCTCGGCAAGCGAGCTTCTCCCGTCAGATCACTCCCGGGCCACTTGGGACCTGAACGAATATCCTAAGTCCAAATCCCTAAACTGACAGCGCCAAGCCCTAAACCATAATCCCCAAACCATGTTCAAAGCCTACAGGCGTTATCTGTTGTTTTGAGAAGAAGGAGGAGCAGGCCTGGGAACTCGTGATAGTCCCCCCGCTAAACACGGGAGAGCATACCCCAAGGCACACCGTTCTTATCATTGAGGCGCCCTTGTTGCTCCTCCAAAGATAGCCAGGTTGACATAATGCGCACATGTGCATGCTTGCGTGCACTTGCTCACGCTGCACGCACGCATGTCACGCATGTGTACATCCACACACCCACACACCCACACATGCGTCTATGGTTATTTGTGTGTATACATATATGTATATGTCAATACTATTCCTGTTTGTGTTTAAGTATTTGTTTTCTGTTGCATGGTTACATGTGCACGGCAGTTTATTCAAACTGATATCTGTGCTTCCTTCGTGCACCTACGTAATTTTTGTCGTAGACCTATACATATACCCGTCGGTGTGAGTGTGGGGACGGAGCAGACGTTTGTGCGCGTGGGTGCATTCCTGAATCCCTCATGGTTGCGCAAAAGGAGGATAAGAGATGTTGGGAGGAACGGCGACCTTAACTTAACAGAATATCCATAAGAAGCTAGCTATTAAGCTTCACACTGCACATGCTCACGGTGAAGAGCAGTCAAGAGAAAGCCTCAGTACGGTTCCTACGGTTTCGGGCTTGAAGCCAGAGCATAGTTTCGTGAAGCCTTCCTATCCCAACTCCGACACCAATTATAGAACCCTACTATTACTACAGACCCCTTTCATTGTGCAACAGAGGTCGGACCGATTGGAGAAGGATCTGGCTGTGCGATCACGGCTTGCCGCATTTTGGCAGCCTAGTGGTCTTGCAGAATTTCCGCCATGGCCCAATTCTACGGCCTCGTCCCACATTGAAAACCCCCGAAGCCCTGGCTGGTTTGCCGACCACAGCAGATCTGCGGCAATCATTTTGTTGAGGGCTGGAGGGGCGGTTAAACATTCCGGGGCAGGTGTTAGCACCGCAGAAACCCCGCTGAAGCTACTCAAGACGAGGTGCACAAGCAGCAGAAGGGGATCTCGAGGGCTAGAAAAGCCATCAACACGCTGGCCTCTAGAAGAATGAATATAGGGCTAAGGTAGGTGGATGGCCGAGAAGAGGACCCCAGATTTACCCATCTCCCCCACTGTTAGTGATGTCTACAGGCACTCTCGATTGCGAGCTTTGTTTGCAGACTATCGAGCTGCTCATCAGGTTCCTTTCACTACAGATCAGGCCCCAGAATGAAACCCCAAGCTCTGACTCCTGGAAGACCACCAAAGAGCCAAATGAAAGCAACAACTACTCCCAAACCCCCAACACACACAAACCTGAACCCTAAAGCCAAAGGCCGGCAGCCTCAGAACAATTTATGCTTCCCGGGAAGTGGCATTCGTGCTGTGCCAAGGAGATCGAAGAAGCATTGAGCCTTGGCTTGAAAGCGTCGGTGGCTGCAGGTCAGGTGGCAAGGGTGACCGTTGTGATGACCAGCAGCAGCAGCAGTCGTAACGGTAGCAGGAGCAGTAGCAGCCGCTGATGTATTGCTATGACCATTGCGGTCATCGCTGCCGTACCCGTTCAGGGTTCAATGGTGTGCGAGCATGAATGCCATTAGGGCAGGGTTTCAAGCTTTTCGTACCTTGGCCGGGCAACCGTTTATGCAGCAATATAGGGTTCCTTGTTATACTTGTAGTATAATGGGCCATAAAGCCCTATTCCCTGGCATCTCCCCAGGGCCCAGCTCAATCTCGACATCCAGCTGGGCGAGACAGAGGAGCTTCTACGGTTAGTCTTCCTTCGAACTAGGGCCTATGGGTTTGCGGTTTGGGGTTGAGGGTTTGGGGCGCGAGCAACAAGCCCAAAGGCCAGAATTTCAAGGTTCTTCAGTAGTTTTGACTTTGTTCCTGCTTTGGGGCCTGGTTTCTTTCAAACAATTTTCCAAGAAACACATTTGTAGCTTCAAGGGGACTGGAGGAAAGAACTGATGAACCCTTAAGGAATCAACCACTAAATCCCAAGACTCCAGACTCTAAACCCCTAAGCACGAAAACCCTGAACCCGTATAGTCACGTGAACCCTCAACACCTAATGAGAACCCAGTACTATAGAAGCCTTAATAACTACCAATACTATTTTGGGGGCTCTTTTTATGTAAAACTATAGTATCATCGGCCCCAAGACCCTACATATACTAATTACGAAGGCCCTTATATTTCCGCAAGCTGCGAAGGAGAAAACCTTGGAAGCGGAAGTCGAGACCTTGGAGTGGCTCGGCCAGCGATTCACTGCTTTAGGGGCTCTCTGTGGACGCCTTGATGAGAAGCCGCCTCTCATGCTAGCAATCCGTAAAACTTTTAACAATACAAAAATAAGAACAACGGAAGTATCTCACGGCCCCAACATGGGGATCCCTATGGTCTAGCTTAGTGCTTAGGTGTCATGCTTTAGGGCTTGCTGCAGTCCCCTGAGTACTCTTTTAGGCCTTTGAACCCTACCGGGTCTTCCTTACAGCAACCATGTTTCCGGTTCTGTATGTTAGAGGCATACGAAAGCCGTCATTTTGCTTTTTGGTGGGTCAGAGGAGGCTTGCACTTTAGGATTTCGGGTGCGCAGAGTTTAGGATGGGATGCAGGTAGCGTATGGCGTCTTCCCCAGATGCAACATGTCCACATCGGATTGGACTTACCACCCGAACACGCCTGAGATTATAGAGGAAACCTGAAAACTGCCTGTCGTTGCAAAGCTTGATCCAGCGGCATTTCCGAGTCCCTCTCAGAGGACTGCTGGTGCACAGGATCTAGTGCAGTTGCCGAGTTTACCCCTCAGGATGTGCTATGAGGAGTGTCCTCGTCCTCGCCTTGGGGGCCATAGTAGCAAGTAGTGGCATGAGACCACAAAATAACCACAAGAGGACAAATGCAGGCACTCCTAGGAAGTGTTCGGCCGCAAAACCTGTAGGATTCTCCCATAGAAGCATCGCAAATGAGGCAAGAGCGTGCCACGAGGTGCCTGCATCAGTGCCGGCGTCGGGTTCAGACTTCTACGGTCGAAGGTCTACTAGACCGCTTTTGGAACACATCGTTTCAATAGTATCCCCCCAAATAACTATCGTATGATATACCCCAAGTGCCAAAGCCCTGTTCTGACTGTTAAGGCGGCTTATATTGCTTAACCACCGGAATGTAGTTGCTGTAAGTATTTGATCAGCTTGCTGACGGAAGCACAACATAGGTTTCGCACCAAACGCGTGACCCTGACCACAAAGAACCCCAAAGGCCTGCACCTGAGTCTCTTCTGCAAGACGACTAGACTTTGCCGTCCCTTCTGGCGCCCCAACCCCTGAACCCGTACTCAAATCTAAAACTCCTCAGCACAAACACCCCGCAGAACCTTCTGCATACCCGTGTAAGCCCCACATGCACAAAACCTTCCAAAAGTCAAAAGGTAGCAGCACAAACACTGCGATCCTCAGTCAACGCTCAGCTGCCTGACTGCCTGAAACCCGAAACCCTTCCTTCAAATTTCCCCAGAGCACCCTAAAACAGCTCTGAAACCCTTCTTTGCTACGCCGCGGGCTTGTAGTTTGAGGTTGAGGTATAGGGCCTTCAAGTCCCCGTTAGAGTTTAGGGCCCATCAAGTCCCGTCTTTGCTGCGCCGTGCGGCGAGCTCCCTGTGAGGCTCGAAGAAAGCGATTCGACGGGTCCCGGCAAGGCCGAGCAAATGCCGGAAGAGGCATCGGTTTAGGATTTGGGGTTTAGAGGTTTGTGAATAGCCCCTGCTCACAAAACAAGGTTTGTGATTTATTGGGGTGTAGGATTTCGGGGCTAGGGTAGAGGAATTTGGGTTTAGGGTTTTGGATTTAGGCTGTGTACCGGAATCCTGGCTGCTTCGTGTGCAGCGTCCTGCGGCGTCATGAGCACACAGCTTGACTCCTCCGAAAGGCGGCTTTGGGTATCGGTGCTGCATGTCGGCCTCGGTCGAGATGATTGTGGGTCGTAGACTAGCTAGACTTGAGTCCAGTGGCAAAAGGCTGTCTGGGCGTCGAGGATGACAGCGTTCTTTAGGGGCGTCGAGGATGACAGCATTCTTCGGCAGGGGTCTAGGGCTTTGAGACGGCAGATACCACCGCAAGATTCAGAGACCTGACGTGTCTTGGGCTTTGCTTGTTTTGGAGCAGGAGAGGGTTTTTAGGAAGTACGGCTTACCGTGCCAAAGAACCGCCAAGCAGCCGCCGAGCATTTCAACAAATTTCGTGTCACAGCCTCGTTGCAATCGACATGTCGCCGTCTTACCCAGGCAGTGGTGGCAGCTTACTGCAGCCGCGTTTCGCAACGAAGTCTGTGGAAGGTGGTGTTGGGGAAGCACAAGAAGGCTCGGAGGGGCTCCAGGGCTTCAGGTGAAGGTTCCAATTCTAAAGGCTTGGGGCCTTGGCCGTAGCTCTTCGCTTTACCATAAACAAGCCTGCGGAGGCTGTCTCCCGAAAGAGGATAACAGCGCAACCTATCAAAGACTACACCTCAGGTACGTGTGCGACATCTCTGTTGGTCTAGGGCTACGCAAAGCGCATTTATTGTGTGCGTTATTCGCAGTTTCGGGGTCAGAGCTTGGGTTCTGGGATTAGGGCCTTAGGGCCTGACCCAATAAAAGTTGGGCTCTGCACTCCTTCTCAGTGCGTGAGTAGAATTCCCACCGACACCAACCATGGAAAGCAGCCGTACATATCTGATGGAAGCGCTCATGAATGCTAATTGGGGCCGGTCTTCCCGGGGCCGGCTTCGAGTTTGACGTTTCAACCGTGCTGTGGAGGCGAGGCAAGTTGCAAAGGACTATGTGGCCGGCCTCACAGCGGCGAAGAGTCGGGCGCTGGAGGCACACTTGTTGCTTCAGCATTCAGCTTCAAGCTGAATGGACTTAGGATTCTACATACCGTTTGGGTTACTATTGTTGCTTATCATTAGTGACAAGTATTATTGCTGCTATTCGTGGTGCTGCTTTCATGCATACTGATGACGAGACCGACGAGATTTGCCTGGGGTGTGATGTTGTTGTTATGTTTGCGGGCGCCTACCGCCAGGATCTGCAGGTTGCAGGGCCAGGGTGGTGTTGTGGATTCATGTAGACCTCCCTGTATCGGGGCTGAGGGTTTTTGATCTAGGGGTTTAGGGTGTAGGAATGTTGAGCAGCAAGGTAGACCCCTTTCTTAACACTCCCCTTGAGGCCTTCATGTTAGGATTGCTATTGCAATCCTTTTCAATTCAATCCCCGTCCACTCAAGTTTAGGGTTCAGGGCCTATTTGTGCTCCTGAACATTAGGATCTCTAGGCCCTAGTCAATCCCTTTCAAAGTAGGGAGGCCTTCATAATCCGGAGTTTCCGTTAGTTCACAACCCCAAATGGCCAGAGGCCCCACACCCTTTCCTTGAACCATCCAAGCGACTCCTCTACGGGGTCTTTCAAGCGGGCCCTTGCGCCCTAGTCCCCGAGCCCCAGAACCCAGGACTTAGATTCCATGAGCCCGCCCAATTCCGGCCAAATATGCAGGGCTTCTGAGCTGAGGTGCCAAAGAAAGAGAACTCGACGAAAAGACTCCCAAATAAAAGCAGCAAAAACCCCACACCCGAAACTTGAGCATGTAAGCCTGCCCAAATGACCTTGAGCCCTCAACCGCCAACCACCTTGAAGGTTCCCGGTGAGGAGGTCGTAGCCACATCCTCCCTCCGATCCTTGCGCTCACAGAAGTCGCTTCGCACAGCTTTGCGACTGGGAGGCATCTTCGGGAACTGAGTACTATCGGTTGCTATCGGGGCCTTTATATCAATTGCCTATACTGCTTGGGTGGTTCATGATTATAAGTATAACATCATGGCCCCAAAACCCTATTCTAATTTTTAAGGCCCCTAGATTACCTTCTGAGAGACCGTGTTCTCGATGTGAAGACGCGAGAATGTAAGCACACATGAAAGGCAAACTCAGAATGTCAAACAACCGCGTCACCTTTGGATACGTTCACTCATAATCACAGCAGCAGGTTGTTAATGGGTAAGTGTTAATGTTGTGGCCTCTCGTCCTTGGCGCGCTTGGAATAATGTCGGTGTATCCTGAACAGCCACTCGTGCATTCAAGGCCCAGTAGGGGCTTTAAGGGGTTATGACATGATTAGGAAGTTTCAATATGTAAGCTTCGTGGGTTACGGGTAAACCTCAACACTCAACACGAACACTGTGAACACCGAAACCCTTGACGCCCCGAACCCTTGAAGCCAAGACCCCAAAGCCACAGACTTTAAACACCTGGAAGCACGAGGCACGAGATCCCGCAAACCGCAACCACAAGATGCGATGGACCCCATTACGCTGAGCCCTAAAGCCTTGAGCCAAGGTCGGACGCTTCATCCCGGCCAAGCAAGTCCGACCTGCTTTTGGGAAGTTCTTGTGCAATGGCTTGGGGGGGGTGGGGGGGGCTCTGAGGGCCAAAGAAGGGACTGTGTAGGGATTAGGGGTCAGCTTCTTTGGGGGTCCTTCGAGGTTGAGGGCCTTAATCCTCGATTGTTCTTTCTGTGGTGACCATTTCTTCTATTGAAAGGGTTTAAACTACTTAAGAGCTGGTTAACAAAATGTGGAGCTACCTGACCCCACACAGGTACTCTTTCATTCCATGTCTTCCCGTCTCATCTTTTCGGAAAAGGCTGTACACAAAACCTGTCTCATTCAATAAATCCCCTTGAGGCCAAGTCTCTTGTGGCAACTTACCTTCGTGAAGGAGCCTACGGAAACCTAAACTCCACTCCAAGGCTTTTCGTATCAAGTTAGGCTCCCTTGCCATAGCCGCTGCGCAGCAGGCAATTGTTTGACGACCATCATCCAAGCTGCAGACACTATGGGCCCGGCTGTAGGCTCTAATTACTCTATCCTAAAGACCGAAAGCCTGTCCTAAACACAAAGCAAGGGTGACTTGTCCAAGGACGTTTGTAAGGAGATCATGGCAAGGAGCCCTTGTAAGAATGGAGGTGTTCAGGGCATAGCTTGGGTTCACTTGTCGGATTCGGGTCACTCCAAAGGGTTCCCATACAGTAGAAAGTCATATGAAGTATTATGCGACAGCAAAATGTGTTTCATATAGTTATTGTGGTATAGTCATATAGTAAGTCTTAGTAAGTATATAGTCGATACACATACAGTATGCACATATACAGACAGGTAGAAAGACCGACAGATACATATAGGTATGTAACGGTATGCATGTGCATCTATCATGAAATATATGTCTTAGTTTGTATATGAGAGAGAGAGAGAGAGAGAGAGATATATTCAAAGCTCTATCCAAACGCCCAGTCTCATAATGCTATAACTTTAGCGCTCATTGTCAGCCCTTAACATCACATGTGTGGGAACGACAGCGGTTCTTCATCCGAGGTCTCGGGATCAGGGTGATTACAGAGTCTGGAGTCTGGTTCCAACAAGGAATGCCTCGGGATATTTCGGTTGCATCACTCTCTCACATGTTTTCAGAGTGCCGTCGGTCAGCCGTGTTGGCCTAAGCGCCGGCCTGTGGGGAGGTGGACCAGAAGACTACAGCAGATGCAAAGAAAGGGATTCCACATCTTGCACCCCACCCAGGCAAGTGAGAAACTGGGTCCCACGGAAAGGCAGAGCCTCGCAAAGACGAAGCATGACAGTTTGGTCGTCAGCGCCCCACATCGGGAATAAGAGCTTCTAGCTACCGTTCATACCACTCATCGCGATTAGCATAAATACGACTGCCACCACATCGTTGGCAAAAGCCGACTATTGACGTAACTCTTTTTGGGTCCTCCGTAGCATGCGCACGGGCGGACACGCCCTTCCCCCGCCGAAGCTGTGCAGCGAAACAAGCTGCCCGGGAGCCATGGCAGAGGACCAGGAGGAGGTCCGAAGGGCTCTTGTCAGGGATATCCCTACCTTATAATGGGCTTCATCCCATGTTAGGGATATCCCTACCTTGATGGGCTTCATGATAATTATAGGGGGGGGTTGATATGGGATATCCCTATCCGATATCCCAATGCTTGCTTATGTGTTTTTTTGGGGGCCCATCTTGCTCCTTGAAAGGGGTGAAGGCTTGAGAAAGGCTCCGATTTGGGATGCTACGAAATGTTACTTCTTGAGTTTAGTAAATGGGCCCGAACAGTCAGCACCGGGTTTTGGGGTGCGTAATAGTGTAGTAGCCTACACAGTCCGCCCTGACCGGGGCCTTCACTTCTGCGATGAGGTTGATTACCAGAACTACAGTACTGGACGTTATAGGGGCATCGTCGGCATTGCGATTTTGTGCTTGGGGGAGGATGTCCTTGAGGGTTGGATCTTAAGTCACATGTGGTGGGCAGTCTATTCGGGGTTTTGGTGAGTGTGAATGGGGGTTTGGGGTGCCAAGCCTTCAGAGTGCAAAGAGTGTGATTTGCATGCTTGGCGCTTCCAGAAAGCCTTCAGAATCATTTAGTCATTGGAGTTCATGCGTCAGCTAGACATTCGCCGCATCTAGACATACTAATGGAGAGGTTTGATTTTGCTGTGTTCAGTGCCATGCCCAAGATCGAGAAGGTAGTCAGAGAATTCAATGACCTTGAGGCAATGCAGCCAGCGGGGAACAACTTACAGATCGCAAGTACAAATGCCACAGGCTCGCATGTATGTAGTTAAATTTGTGCACGGTAACATTATGCAAAAGCTAGCGTCGCGTACCGCGATGTACCATGTCATGCAGATTATGTATGTGACTATTTATGTATGTATGTTTGCATGTACTGTGTATGCAGGTGGCTGGAGGAGCGGAGGGATGGATCATGCAGGGAGGGATGGATGGATGGATGGAAGGATGGAAGGATGGAAGGATGGAAGGATGGAAGGATGGAAGGATTGGATGGGATGGATGGACGGATGGATGAAATTATGTAATCATTGTGCAGGCAGGCATGGATGGATGGATGTCCACCAAACTCATCCCCCAGCTTGCCTGTGGAGACGTATGCTGTCGGGTCTTCTTTCAACCAAGGCCCCCTTCGCATCAAATGCCTTTACTGCGACTTTCCCTGATCATGTGTGCCTGACCCGAAGCACCGCAAAGCCTCAAACGTGAACACGAGTTCCTTCAGTATGCGCGCTTGAACTTGCGGACTATTGATTTTTGTTCTTTGTAGTGGCCTCTGTTGTAGTTATTGATGTTGGACCTCTTGCCAGGTGAAAATTGAATCAGCTCCAGCTGTGGATCCGCCGGAGGCCGGCAAAGGGCCTAAAGGTCGTGGCCGGTTCAGCTAGTACTCCCAAATCTCTTCACTCGTCCCAGGGTCATACCTCCAATTCTCTAGGACTCTAGGTTTCACCTGCATCATTGAAAACTTATGTCCTTGAATCGCTGCCTCATCATGAAGCATGCGTGCCTTCTGCCGCTTTGGATGTGAGGAACACGGAGTTGCTGGCGGCGGCCTAATTTTCAGAATTTACGGTGTAGGGTTGAATAATGTTGAATATCAAGGATTTGGGGGAAGCGGGGGGGACATTTTAAATATGCAGGAACCCCAATTAAAGGAAGAGTATTGGGAAGTACCCAGGCCCGTGTATTAGGATTCCGGTTTGCAGGAGCCGAAGCCGGAAGTGCCGGCGGTCATGATGGTCGCATCCCCAGAAGACAGCATCTCTTGTAAACTCAGGAGGCTCCACGGGGGCTAAGGCTTAGGGGAGGGGGGGTGGGGGCCTAAATATAGGGACTAAAATAATTACCTATACTATTTTGGAAACTCGCCTCTTAACTTATAATTATAGTATAGTAGACCCCAAAACCCCATTAAATATGATCCGCAAGGGCCTGCCAAGGGCTAACAAGGTTTGATAAGGCTTATGATGTTTTAAGGAAGCATTAGTTCACTGCCCGGCTCCCCCGTTTTCCCTGCAGGTTTCCTATGACAGGCTTCTTGTGGCTTGGGGTTTCCGGGAGCTCCCCAAATGGTCCTTTGGTGAAGGAGTATTCCTCCATAGCTGGAGCTTTGGGATCGGGAAAAGAAACTGCTGGGCTATCTTCACCCCACGCCCTCAACCCTAAAACCCTAAATCGCTAAGCCCTTAACCTATCAAGCCCCCTCGGCGAGACATGGACTAAACCCCGCGATCTATTGGCTTCATCCCGGCTCTTGTTTATACCGCACGCTATGGGAACCCTTATACAAAAAAAGCCCCACCGCGTCTAGAAAAAGGCAAAGTCGACTAACTGTTGGAGTTTCGTGGCCGCCATGTTGGCATGAACCTTGAATCCTTTTGGGATTCTATACTCCGGGAGTAGCTGAACCGTTCGTCATGTTCTTGCCGAGGCACTCAGCCACCCGAAAACGGGGTACCTTCTGTTCATGTCAGAATCCTGCTAACAAGGGATCTGCTACTTGTGGCTTTATTTTAGGGCCTTGGTTAGTGAAACCTCCACCTGAAGAACAACCTCGTCTTCAAGTCGGCTTGGTGGCAGTATTACTGTTTAGCATAATACTGCCACCAATGCCTCTCGAAAGCTTGGTCGGAGGAGCCAAGGTAGTGCTTCCGCGCGTGTTAGTGCTCGAGGATTCGACGCGTTTTCAGGATCCGAGGAGTCGATAAGTGATAACACGAAGTAGAGCACTCAGGAGCCCTGTTCTTACCTTCCTGTCAGTTCACTGAACCCTAACCCCTGCATACCCCTGCTAGATTTTTAAGAGACCCTGCAGCTGAGGCCTGTGATCCGGTTTGGCAGGCCAGGAGGGGGCCGCACTGAATCCAAAGCCCCACTAAATCCCGTCCAAGATCACAACCCCAAAATTAACACATACTTCGGGTCTACGCCGGGCTCCTTTCCTGTCCTGATTCTCCAAGATATTTCACAAATTTGAGCCTGAAAGAATCTCCTGCATTCTTCGAACCCTCCATGTCGAATACATGGGCGTAGAGGTCGGAATAACTCTGATTTTAAACGTAATTCGATTGACTCCGTATGTAGCTATGCCTAAACTGCACAGTGAGTGAATGTGAGACTTCACTCGGAATTCCTCGACTAGTGACTAGTCTGTATGTAGTGTTTTCAACCTTTAAAGACTGCTCAATCTAAAATCCATGATAGAACCCTTGCTGATCATTCACAAACAACAAGACTAAGGCCTTAGCCCCCCCCAAAGGCATTTTGTACAGCCCACATAAATTGCAAGACCCTGATTCCATAAACCCTTCAACAGAGGACAAGACCCTGAATCACTGTATAAGACCGTAATTCCATACGCCGCTCTATGGGTGTTTCCGAAAATAGGGACCCTAATAGAAGGACCCCAAAATAAGGTACCCCCGAATTTTCGGAAACTCCCCTATAGACCTGATGCAGAGACTAAGTCCATCACGCCGACCCCCGGAACTCGCAGGCGCTCCTCAATGTTTACGAGGTGCACCGCCAGGACGGGCTTTGGGGTTAATGTTCACTTCGTATTAAGAAAGGGCCCCCTCCCCCTCCCCCCCGCAAGCGTGTGAGCCTCAGCCTCCGTAATAAGAGTCCGATAGAGTCCGGGTCCAGCATAACTTCAGAAGCTTGGTAAGAGTTAAGAAGCCAAACGTGTCAGAGCCCTGCTTGCAGCCCGCGGGAGATACTCCAATTGCCCCAAAGCCTTTTCAGCTCCTGTAGCTTCTGCTTTCAGTTTTTTCCGCTTAGGCCGCTTGGATTCTGCAAATACGGGGGGGTTTCTAATTACGTTCTGGGAATTGGATTTTGCAATTACGCGGGGAATTCTAAATATGAGGTTGACATTAGTAGAGGGGCGTAAATGAATACCAATACTACTGTATATCGGGGGTTCCTGTTTACAATCATAGATAATCATAGTGTTCTATAACCCCAAGCCTTATTCTAGTTATTAAGCTAGTGCGGGGTATCGCTACACACGGTTTGAGCTTTGGGTGCTTCAGGGGCTCTGGGTTTGGTTCATGCGTTCAGTTGAATGCCCTTTTGGGGCATGGTGTATCGCCACAAGCTAGGGTATATGTGTTCAGGTGGGCTTGGGGTTTTCACCAACAAGGCGTCGTTCTCAAGCACTACTACCCCTAGCCCTGTTGAAAAACCTTCGCGTCAACCCCGTGCATTGAATTTATCCGGAATTTGGGGAGTAAGCGAGCTGTAAAAGCTTTGCATTAAATCGCTGCTAGAATCCATCACAACACTCATTATATGCCCGTCAAAATGCAAAGTCCCCACCCGATAAAGCCTCTTTGTGGCCTGAAATGTTAAAGAACCCCGTGCGAAACAAGCTCTTGTGGAAGGAGCTACTCCAGGCTGAGCTAGTGCGGAAGGACTGCTGGGCTTTCAGGTCATGAGGGAAGATGGGATGAAGCACTGTGGAAGCTTAAATAAGTACCCATATTTAGGTTTCCTTGTCGCAATTATACGATAAAGGAGCCACAACCTTGTTCTAATCATTATGGCCCCTACCTTAGGTAAGGCTTTGGCGGTGCGGCATATGTTCGCTTTAGGGCGTAGCGACTCGAGGATTCAAGGCTCACGGTTTTATGGCATCAGGTTTCTTCGAGATGCCGATTGACTGCTGTATCGAGTTTCGTTCAGGTTTTGCCAGGGCTTCGGGCATCAGGCATGCCAAAAGATAGACCTGCAAAGCCAAAGTTCCCTGAAAATCATGGAAGGATCTTCATCTACAAAGAATGGTTGTATTGACGTTAGGCTTGCAGGTTGTAGGGTGTTGTTGTCCTTGTGGTGTGCGGTTTCCTGTCAGGGCTGTGGGATGGAAGGTTCCTGATGTAGTATAGGTTTTTAGGGGTACCGTGCGAGTTCAACTTCAAGCTTCTGGAGGGACCTAAAAAAGTATCGATACTCCTTTGGGGGGGGTTCCTTATCACAATTATATATAGTATAGTGGGCCCCAAAACCCTATTCCAATTTTTTCAGGCCCCTATATTAAACCACAGGTGGGTCCAACATCTACAGGCGGAGGATCTCTCGGCATATATAGGCCGGCAACCTTCAACTCTTCTGGTCGGATCTCGTGATACTTTCAGAAAGGAGGACCTCCTGTTCTTTGAGAGCAGACGCATTCGAGCTTGAGACCTTCTGGGATAGTCGAGCGTTTATATCATTTACCTTGTGTTCGCCCCAGGCACCTCGACAAAGGTGTGTTGAACCCTAAACCCTAAACCCAGTGTGTTGTCCTCTGTACCTAAACCCTGAAGCCCAGAGGTGGCTCCTGAAGCAGAAGCCCAAGTTAAACCGCAACTGCAAGGAGCCCGGTTCCTTATTGTAGGTACAGTATCATATACGCCAAAACCTTGTTCTAATCATTAAGGCCGATAGTTATGGTATCGTATACCCTCAAAACCCTATTCGAACACTTAAGGCCCCTATATTAAGCCTCAAACCTTAAACGGAAAGCCTGAAGCTCGTCAGGAGATGTCGTCCGATGGAGGAGTCACTTCAAAGGAGCCCTCATGCATCCATAATCGGTGGCTAAGCATGCTGCAGGGCTGTAAGGGTGTTGATACTCGGGTTCTGGTACTGCGCGTCTCGATTCTGCTGGAACTCTTAGAACAAGCTTGCAGGCTTTGGGTTGAAGGCTTACGGCTTATTGCTGAGGGAGGGCTTAGGGCTTAGGGTAAAAAGGGGCTTGTCGTATGCTGAGTAGCTCACCTCCAACCCGTCCAACCTCCTCTGGTGTCTGCAGCTTCATCAAAGCTAACAATGATTCAAATTCCTATAAGATTCTATAATATACTATAATACTATGATACACTATAATATACGATAATAATAGTTGTGTTCGTTCCCAGGAAGTTTGGAAACCCTGAGCCCAAAACCGCAAACCCTCTGGAACTGCCACAAAGACTTGGAGCGTCTTGGAAGATTGATTGACCTATTGTCGTGCCTTGTTCAGGCATAGCGATCTTGGGCTCAGGGTTTGGGGCAACGCTCAGACCGAACTTTGTGCCATGGCATACGAACGCTAGAGACATTGAGGCTTTCCAAAGTGCCCATTTCGGGAGTTTGTGCTCTTACGGCTTGTGGGCCACGGGTTACAACTCGAGTGCATAGGGTCTGGTCATCTTGGAAATGAAATCCTCCAGCAGGAGACCGCCTCGCTGTATCCAGGCGCCAGTTCACAACTTCATGGCCGCCACAAAGAAGCCAAATAGAATAATACGGGTGTTTGTCTTTTCCCCCACCCTCGGTGTGGTGTTGTTAGAGTTTAAAGCCAGCTATGACTCCTCGCCCGCTGAGATTACCTCCTCGAGTACCCAAATGCACAGACTACCGTGAGAATCCCTGGAGTGCCCAACCCCACAGACTACCGTGAGAATCCCTGGAGTGCCCAACCCCACGGACTACCGTGAGAATCCCTGGAGTGCTCGGGAACACCAGGGTTTAAGGTTTAGGCTCGGGTTCTTTAGGTCTTGGGATTTGCGTGTAGGAAGGACAAGGCGCTAGGGTGGAGATGTTCGAAGTAAAATAGTTATTTGGGTCCTTATTATAATACGGCACCCCATATTTAGGGTACCCCAAGAGGGACCCTAATTTTGACAACCACCCTATGGAAGCATACGATAATGCACCGCCCAGGATCCAGAATCAGGCCCCTAATAGCCCTGCAGTCCCTACTAAAGCCTGGGCATTGGCTATCCTCATGCTGAGAACGCTGAGAAAAATAGTCTCATATTCCTACAATCAATCAAGGGTCAAGCTCTTTCGGGAAAGGATTTCAGCAACCAGGAAGTCATGTCATTCTGAATGCGGGTACCAAAGCACCAAAGCTTCAGAGCCTCACATGCGCGATGACCGCTAGAAGGCTGAGATAGTCCCACACCCTGTTTCCTGGAGTCAAAAGCCCGCAACACCCGACGCTGTTCTGCTTGCTGCGCACCATAAACGGGGTCGTAGTCCGCGTGATAGTCTTACTGGCTAGAGCCATGATTAGCCCGAAGCCTGAAAGCCTTCCTTTTTCGTTGCCTCAAACTTACGTACTACTTTTCAAGTTCAGGTGTGCCGGACGAGTGAGTTTACTACAAGGGCCCCCCAGGCATTTCGGGTCTCAGGGAAACGATCTCGTCCTTCATCAGGTGTACTTAGAGAGGCTCTCTCTACGGACCTCGCATCAAGACCTGCAGCATCTTTCGGAGCCTTGCGAGGCCCTGCTGCGATTTCCGCCATCGCCTCAAGCCGAGGGGTTCTGGCTCTGCCGAAACTCGTCGAATTATTCAGCTTTGGAAATCCAGGACCGATTTTTTCTGCTTCAGGAGTGAACTTCAGCTTGCCAGACGGTTGTCGATGTTTTTGGCATCTGCCGGTGTTCTTTGCGCCCAACTCGGGACATCGCTGGTGGCTGTTCATGGGCACATTCGAGCTGTTTCATTGCCTCGCGAACACAGTGCCGTTTCCAGAATTGGATTCATGCCCTGCGTGTTGCTCATGGGTACAACGCAACTGTCGGCTTGGTGCAATGTTGTGAAATGTAATGTAGTGTAAATTTTGTGGTGGAGTCTCTGGTAGTGTCGTGCACTTCAGTGCTGTAAAGCGACGTGAGATGTTAGGTACTGTCAGGAGACGCAATGTAATTGCGACGTAGCGTCGCATTATACGGTTCGTGAGGCAAGGTCAGGAGCGTTTAAGGAAAATTTAAGGGCACAAGTGAAGGAAAGGGAAGGTCATGGAATGGTTTTGTCTGATATACATGCATTCATACATGCCTATGCTCCTATGCGCACCTTCATGCCGGGAGAGTTGCTTTGTTGTGATGTCGATACTTGTTGTTTTCTTGTGTTTCTGGTCAGGTACGTTATCTTCTTGCCTTGCATGCGACTGGTTACCATTCCCTTCTTTGGTCGTTGTTCGCCCTTGCTGGTACGCCTTTCAGTCCCATTCGAAACGGCTGTTGGTGTGCAGCTGCCACCTGCTCTCCGCTATTTGTAAATGGCGCATGGTTTTGGATTTGTGGGTTTTGTGACTGCCAGTCTGCTCATCAGTTGGCCAAATAGGACTTTACATTTCTTTCGATGGAGTGAGAAAACGAGTCTGAGTCTGTTCGTTTTGCATAGTACAGCGAGATTTTGGCAAAGTAGCCCCTTCGGCAACGTACTAATCCCTTCCCCCATTTACTAAAGAGATCCCTAATTATAAAAACACTTTTCCCCCGATCCACCCGGAAGTAGCACCGCCCTTTAAACCCTAATTTGAATTAGGGGGAAGGTTTAGGGTCTATAGATTGAGGGTTTAGGGGGAAGAATTATAATTGCATGACTCAGCAACTGCTCAATTGAGCCGCATGAAAAGCTTTATTAGCCAAGCCTTTATTGAAGCCTATTTTTTTAATGCGGATTTGTGTATTTGCACGGATTTAGTGTGTATTTGCACGGATTCAGTGTGTATTTGCACGGATTTAGTATGTATTTGCACGGATTCACGGATTTAGATGTATTTGCACGGATTCCGTGTGTATTTGCACGGATTTGGTGTGTATTTGCACTCACGTCCTGTGTAGTTGCACGAATTTAGTGTGTATTTGCATGTATTTATACGCATTTAGCGTGTGTTTGCACGGATCGTGAGTATTTGCACGCAGTATTTGGTGTCTAATTACAGGGATTTAGTGTGTGTATTTGCACAGATTCCGTGTGTATTTGCACGCATTTACTGTGTACCTGGTGTGTAGTTAGAGGGATTTAGTGTGTGTCTTTACACGGATTTAGTGTGTGTTTGCATGGATTCGGCGTGTATTTGCACGGATTTAGTGTGTATTTGCATGGATTTGGTGTGTATTTGCACGCATTTCGTGTGTATTAGCACGAATTTCGTATGTCTTTGCACGGATTTAGTGTGCATTTGCACGGTTTTAGTGTGCATTTGCACGGATTTGGTGTGATTTGCAGCCCTTATAATAGCGTTTCTTAAGTCTCCACGGCTGCCTCAGTAGGGAATTTGGGCACGGTCGCAGGCCCAATTCTGGCGGTGTCCCCGTGGGCCCTTTCCCCATCCAGAATCGAAATTTGAATTGACCAAAAACCGCCAAGAGCACAACCAAACCCGCCGAAAACCGCGCAAACCCACCAAAACCCACCCATTCCCACTTTCCCATGCCCCTTTGCCCAAATGCTATTGGTGCTGATGCTGTGGATGTTCTACTCCTGTTAGTGACAATACCACTACTACTCCTGCTCCTGCTGCCGCTGCGATTGCTGCTACTGCTGCGACTGCTACCACTACTACTACTGCTATTTCTCCGACTACTACTACTACTACTACTACTACTGCTGCTGCTGCTGCTGCTGCTACTAGTACTACTACTGATCCTGCTGCTACTACTACTACTTGTACTATTCCTTGTACTACGATGACGACGACTACTTCTACCACCACCACCACCACCACCACCACCACCACCAATTACCACTGCCACTAATTACCACTGCTGCTCCTGCTGCTGCTGCTGCTGCTGCTATTCTTGTTATCACTACAACAACAACCACTCCTCCTATTACGACGACAACTGCTAACTGCTACCACTACCGCAACAATGAGCGAGCGTGCATTGACCGGATGGAAGATGAGATGGCTGCAATGGCTACTCCAAACCTTCGACATCGACATCATCATCATCATTATAAGCATCCTCATCCTCATCCTCATCCTCCTCATCATCCTCCTCGTCATCATCACATTAAGCAAAGTACTGCCGTCAGATTGTCGGAACAACAGTTCATGATGAAACTCAGATACGAGTCTTACTAGCATGGAAAAGAACGTTTCCTAATCATAACCGTCACATCACCAGCACGTGGATGGGTACGATGCTTCCAAAGGATTACAATTCCATGACTCAGCAACTGCTCAATTGAGCCGCATTCAAAGCTTTATTAGCTAAGCCTTTGTTGAAGCCTTCTTTTTTAATGCGTGTTTACAGATTTAGTGTGTATTTGCACGGATTCCGTGTATATTTGCAGGGATTTAGAACGTATTTGCATGGATTTGATGTGTATTTGCACGGATTTACATGTACTTGCACGGATTCTGTGTGTATTTGCACGGATTTGGTGTATAATTATTTGCACGCATGTCCTGTGTAGTTGCACGAATTTAGTGTGTATTTGCATGGATTTGGTGTGTATCTATACGCATGTAGCGTTTGCAGGGATCCTGAGTATTTGCACGCAGTATTTGGTGTCTAATTGCAGGGATTTAGTGTGTGTATTTACACGGATTGAGTGTGTATTTGCACAGATTCCGTATGTATTTGCACGCATTTACTGTGTACCTGGTGTGTAGTTAGAGGGAATTAGTGTATGTCTTTACACGGATTTAGTGTGTGTTTGCATGGATTCGGCGTGTATTTGCGCGGATTCCGTGTGTATTTGCACGGATTTGGTGTGTATTTGCACGCATTTCGTGTGTATTTGCACGCATTTCGTGTGTATTAGCACGAATTTCGTATGTCTTTGCACGGATTTAGTGTGCATTTGCACGGTTTTAGTGTGCATTTGCACGGATTTGGTGTGATTTGCAGCCCTTGTAATAGCGTTTCTTAAGTCTCCAGAGAGCCCAGAGCTTCAGGTCACCCCAAAATCTCGATTCCGGGTGGGGAAAGGGCCCAAATGACACTCCCGGGGATTGAGCCCACGACCTTCCCGAGGAGGGCTTTGGAGGCAGACGTTTACCCATTAGGCCATGGCCAGATAGTTCTGGGGGCGGGCGGCTGCCTCAGTAGGGAATTTGGGCACGGTCGCAGGCCCAATTCTGGCGGTGTCCCCGTGGGCCCTTTCCCCATCCAGAATCGAAATTTGAAATGACCAAAACCAAACCCGCCGAAAACCCGCGCAAACCCACTTTCCCATGCCCCTTTGCCCAAATGCTATTGGTGCTGATGCTGCGGATGTTCTACTCCTGCTATTGACAATACCACTACTACTCCAGCTCCTGCTGCCGCTGCGATTGCTGCTAATTACTGCTGCGACTGCTACCACTACTACTACTACTACTACTACTACTACTACTACTACTACTACTACTGAACCATTGCAGCCATGTCTCATCTTCCATCCGGTCAATGCACGCTCGCTCATTGTTGTGGGAGTGGTAGCAGTTCGTAGTTGTCGTCGTAATAGGAGGAGTAGATTTAGTGAGAAGTAACAGTAATTAGTCGTAGTCATCGCAGTAGTAGTAGTAGTAGTAGTAGTAGTAGTGGTTGTTGTTGTAGTGACAACAAGAACAGCAGCAGCAGCAGTGGTAATTAGTGGCAGTGGTAATTGGTGGTAGTGGTGGTGGTAGAAGTAGTCGTTGTCATCGTAGTACAAGGAATAGTACAAGTAGTAGTAGTAGTAGTAGCAGCAGGATCAGTAGTAGTAGTACTAGTAGCAGCAGCAGCAGCAGTAGTAGTAGTCCTCCAAACCTTCGACATCGACATCATCATTATCATTATAAGCATCCTCATCCTCATCCTCCTCCTCATCATCCTCCTCATCATCATCATATTAAGCAAAGTACTGCCGTCAGACTGTCGGAACAACAATTCATGATGAAACTCAGATACGAATCTTACTAGCATGGAAAAGAACGTTTCCCAATCATAGCCGTCACATCACCAGCACGTGGATGGGCACGATGCTTCCAAAGGATTACAATTGCATGACTCAGCAACTGCTCAATTAAGCCGCATTCAAAGCTTTATTAGCTAAGCCTTTGTTGAAGCCTTCTTTTTTAATGCGTGTTTACAGATTTAGTGTGTATTTGCACGGATTCCGTGTGTATTTGCACGGATTTAGTGTGTATTTGCATGGATTTCGTGTGTATTAGCACGAACTTGGTGTGCATGTGCACGAATTTCGTATGTCTTTGCACGGATTTAGTGTGCATTTGCACGGTTTTAGTGTGCATTTGCACGGATTTGGTGCGATTTGCAGCCCTTCTAATAGCGTTTCTTAAGTCTCCAGAGAGCCCAGAGCTTCAGGTCACCCCAAAATCTCGATTCCGGGTGGGGAAAGGGCCCAAATGACGCCCACGACCTTCCCGAGGAGGGCTTTGGAGGCAGACGTTTACCCATTAGGCCATGGCCAGATGGTTCTGGGGGCGGGCGGCTGCCTCCCTAGGGGATTTGGGCACGGTCGCAGGCCCAATTCTGGCGGTGTCCCCGTGGGCCCTTTCCCCATCCAGAATCGAAATTTGAAATGACCAAAAACCGCCAAGAGCACAACCAAACCCGCCGAAAACCCGCGCAAACCCACCAAAACCCACCCATTCCCACTTTCCCATGCCCCTTTGCCCAAACGCCATTGGCGCCGATGCTGCGGATGTTCTACTCCTGCTATTGACAATACCACTACTACTCCTGCTCCTGCTGCCGCTGCGATTGCTGCTAATTACTGCTGCGACTGCTACCACTACTACTACTACTACTACTACTACTACTACTACTACTACTACTACTACTACTACTACTACTACTACTACTACTACTACTGCTGCTATTTCTCCGACTACTACTACTGCTGCTACTATCAACAACAACATCATCATCATGTTCTTCTCCTGGACCATGATCATCGTCATCATTACCATCACCACCACTACCGCCATCTTCATCATAACAAGCATCACCGTAATCGTCATCATCATTTTCATCGTCATCATTTTCATCATTTAATTACTTGTAGAACCTGTGTTTCTGGCAGTTGAGATAACAACGGGACCCTAATTATAAAAACATTCTCGAGTTTTTATTTAGGGCGAAGGGGGGGGGGGGCCCCGACCATTTAATATTAGGGGGAAGGGATTACTGAGTAGTTATTGCGCTTGCCCCCAATAAATATGGTTGCCATGTTTTCTTGAAGCCTGACTATCCAAAGATACCTACGGTCTCTGGTTTGGCTCACACTCAAGGCCAGTGTACTCTTTACCAACTGAAGGTTTTAGTTTGCTCTTCGGAGAAAGTAACAAGCTATTTTTTGCTTCATGCGCGCTTTGCAGCGCTCTCCAAGCAAGTAGCGCAAGTTTTCAATATCTAGATAAGACATATTTTGCGTTGAAATTGCCAACCTGATGAGCTCTGCATGTGTTAAGAATAAGCTTCGAAGCCTCTTCAGTCCTCCCTCGCCCTGAACTTTAAACTCCTAAACCCCAAGACCCTAACCCCTGAGTGCTGAAACTCCAAAGCCTTATACAAACTCAAGAATTCCACAACTCCCGAAAGTTTTTGCCGAAAATGGTGGGATGCGAGGCGCGCTCAAGACATCCCGAGGCAGTCGACCTCGAAGCTGCTTGTCTCTGATTTAAAAAATCACCAAAGCGATGTTCTCTGGGATTTTGTTAGGAGACATTTTTCATTCGGGTGTATCTACCAGGAAATATACTCCTTCGGAATATATTTTCGTTCTGATCATGATATTGATATGAATGTTCGTTTTGCGGGTTTTGGAGGCCCATGCTGAAATGAGTATACGGGTCCTAGACGGCTGCATTTCGGATTGTTTCTGTTATACGGGATTAGGGTTGAAGGGACGCGGGCCAAGGGCCGAGGGCTCAGGTTGCCTCTATTGCGCAGGATCGAGGGGGGCTGGGGTTACGCAAGGTTTGGTCTAGATTAGCCATGTAGGGGTTTCCGAAAATAGCGACCCTAATATAGGACCTTAATTAGTAGGATCCTCATTTTAGGGACCCCAAAACTTCTCATTTTCGGAAGCTGCCATGTTAAGCAAGCCAAATGCAGGAGAACATGGTCTGGCCTCTGGGATCTCAAGGTTATTTGCTAGTCCACTATAGTGGGTACTAATTGAGTAGAGAGTTATCTAAAGGTGCTATACTGGGGACTAATTTTTTGTAGAGTTATCCAAAAGTTGCCAAGAACCTACATAATAGAAAATAGTTTCTACTATGCTTTGGGTAAGTCTCCCCCATACAGGTACTTAGGCCGCGGGGCCAGAGTCCGTGCACCTGGAAGCCAGCCGTTTTTCGGGGTTAGGACACGGCTCAGAGTTTAGGATTCTCGGCCCGTCTTGGTGAAGTCTGAGCCGGACGGGGCGTATGGGGTTTCTTGTTCTTCACCCGACTTCACGCTGGCATCCTATCTTGTCTTCTAGTAGCTATACAATACTGTGTAGGATTGCGTAGTATAGTATAGTATGGTATAGCGGTATAGCATAGTAGAGTATCTTTTCTTTGCTCAGAGTAACAGTAACCCTATAGTATAACTAGTATAGTATACTTTGGTATTTCATATTATACTATACGATACTCTGGTATCTTGTACTTCTTTTCGATATCTTCTTGTAGCCCACGAAACCTCTGCGAGGAACTCGAGGAGTTCGTTCTTCTCAGACGCCAAGGCGTCAGATGCCAGGGCTTCACGAAAGCGCCACTTCGTCTTACACTGCAGGTTGAAGCTAGGGTTTAGGAGTTTAGGGATGAGGGTTGGGGATTTAAGCTGGGGTTTAGAGGTTTAGCGTTTCGGAGTTTAGGGTTTAGGGTTCGGGGGTTTAAGTTAGCGTTTGGGGGTTTGGGGTTTCGGGAGTTTAGGGTTCAGGGTTCATAGGTTTGGGGTTTTAGGGGGCTACTCGGGATCGGAGTTCGTGGCGAGTAATGCAGATCCCTGGTGAATCACCCCGCTCCGCTTACATTAGACCGTGTAGCAATCCGTTTAAACGAGACAAGCCATAAAGTATGCCTGAATCACTGGCATTGGGCTCTCGTTTAGGATTCAGAGATATAGATTAATCCCAGTCTGGCTATAGAAAAACCTTGCCCCAACACCCTTAAGGTCTTGTGGTCCCTAATCAAAAATCTTCAGTCCCATTCTGATTACTCAGCCCCTAATTTCAAGTCCAGCCAAGGAAGCAGCCAAGCAGAAGCAGTGGTGGTGCATCAGTGCTTCGCCTTCTACGTGGGTTTGGGAGTTGCACCTGGCTGGGGTTCCACGATGCAGATCTCAGGGTTTCGGGTTTTGTTAGGGGGGGGCGGTCAGAGAGCCTATTTTGTTTTGGGTTTTTGTCCGTGTAGGATTGCTGTCGGATTCTGGAGGTGGGAGTGAGGCCGCGGACACATGGGGTTAAACACCTGAGTGCTCGATGCGCTGGATCTTTGGCCGTTTCTATGTTAGAGTTACTAAAAACTTGATGCTTGGGCAAGTATTCCCCGTGTGAGTAGTCTCCCGTAAGTGCCATGTAGATAGAGTCCAGAGCTCAAATGCCGAGCCCGCGAATGCCTGGCCGGCACCTATTTCCGCTCGCTCCAGGCCCTTACAGCCCTGGTAACTCGGGCTGGCGATTGCCTAAAGGGTGTCAGCATAAGTACCTGTACCTGGCAATAGCAGATGATGAAACCTCACATTTAGTGCCTGTGCGAGTCTGGCAACCCCCCCAAAATAAATAAATAAACAAGAAAAGAAGCAATCCTAAGCCTTGAACCCCAACAAAAGCCGTTTGCCGAACCTGAGGAATTCCTCCAGTGGCTTCTCAGACAGAAGTGAGTCGGACGACATCGAAGTAAAGGCCGGGCTTTGCGGTTCTAAAAAAGAAGCATAATACTGATATGGGGGCTTTCCGAAAATAGGGGATCCCAATATAGTACTATACTATCAGGACCCCAAAATAAGGTACGCCTAATTTTCGGAAACTCCCATATCATTATGAAAAATATTTGGCGTGTAGATATTTATGGTCATAGTCATGGTCGGAATCGTTTTCTAGTTCGAATAGAAACAGCAGCAACTGTGGTAATAGTGACAAGCTAGAGGTCAGAATCATTGTCACTGCTAGTCTTCACGGTTCTTGAGTAAGCGTATTCTGTAACATACCGCAAAGCCCTACATATTGGGTTAACTTGCAATTAGCAGCTCCATTGTAGCCCATTGAGTAGGGGGTTTGAGAGGATGCCTATATATATATATATATATATATATATATACACGTACTATGGAGCCTGCGAAACCACTCAGACTTCCATAGTACCCGCAGGGTCTAGGATTTGGGCTTCGGGGTTTAGGGTGTCGGGACCTGCCAAACACAACTTCTTGACAGCCCAAACTACTTCGGAGCGACATCGTGTGAGTTTGAGCACCTCATGGCCAAGATTAGAGGTTTCGTAGAGGGGCTGTATACATGGGGTTAGTATAGCTGTCTTGACAACTCAGATTGGGTTCTGGGTTATGTAGTTGTGTTATACGAACAACACCTTGGGACTGCAAGCGAACATCCATTGGCCCCGACCGTAAGTTTTGTCTGCTTGAATTGACCGCGACGTTGTTTGGGCAAGAGAGTCAATCCACCATAAGACGTCGGAACAATTAGTACTAATCTCCTCGGAGCCTTTATTAATGTATTTTAGAAATATCCTTGTATATTCAATTCTTAGGTTCGTTGGGATGGCGGAGGCGTATGCAAGAGTACAGAGAGCTAGTGCCTCCTTCCCAGATCGAGGCCAGAGCACAAACGGATTCAAGGAAATCACTAGGCCTTCAGAGTTCAAGAGAAATTCCTCAATGAGCGGGTGTTGGGCTTTTTCGGCCCATTCAGTCAAAGGTTGAGAGGCACCTGAAACTGAGACCGCATTGTGCAACTGGAAGAACCCAGATCTGATGTTTATAACCACTGAGACTCAGATTTTCAGAATGAATGCAGAGAATCGGCACATGTTGTTCACCAGATCATAAATCGACTCGATGCGCTTCAACTGTGTTGAACAGTTGTTAGACAGTGTATAACACTAGGTCGAGGGTTGTTTGCTGTCTTGGGGGGGTTGTGGGCTACCCCACTTCCCTATCATTGAGGCCTTACACCCGCCGCTCCAGGAAGCGTTCCCCATGAAAGATGCATGGCTCCTTCTAAACCGTGAGAAGTCGCGCTTCTACACGAAAGAGAACTCGCTGCACCTTGGCTAGCTTGCCGCATCATTCATTGGGGAGTTTCCAAGGACTAGGGATACCTTCGGAACTCGAATTTCGGTGATTACGGAAATATAGCAGCAATCCATCGCAACTTGAATAGGAGGCTCGCTAGAAGCGTCCGTGAAGCCCACGTGAAATGGTGCTTCCTTTAAAGCGATTTTGGCATTGAGAGCTGCAGGCAAGTTCAAACCAAAAAGGCTCTGAAGCCCAGGCCTAAACCCTAAATTCCGCAACTCCTAGACGCCCGATCCCTTGCTTTAATGGGTTTAGGGTCCCTATCAACCTCAGCTTACAGCCGTTGTCCCTGAAACCCAGCGACGCAGAATCGCCCGTCTCACCGGCCCCAAATCCGATCCTTCTGGAGCCGGTGGACTGCAACAAACCAAACCCAGCCCCAAACCTCATCTGAAACCCAGGGGACCCTCTCACCCCGCTACCGGAAGCCCTCAAAAGCCCTCAGCCTCCATGAAAACGAAGGATGTTCAGTCCCGTCGCTGTGTTTCGAGGAGCGGGCCGATGTTCATCAAAGCCGGGCTGCTAAGTGCCAGCACGGACTCCTCCACCAAGGCCCCGAATCGAAAGCGAGGGGTTTCTAGTAGAGGTTTTCTTTGCGGACTTGAGTGGGGCTTGGACTTAAAGGGTTCGACACAGGCTCCCGTAAGGATTTCGTTTGGGATTTTGAAGTGTCTTTTGGGGGGGTTTTCGCACACGCGATATCTGTGCAGGGTTTAAGGGCTGTGGCTGACGATTCGGATTGGGGATGCATTCAGTGCTGCGAGCTGAATAAGGGAGCTGCATCGTTGCGAGAGTAGTGGCACGAGAAGCGAATCCTCACAGAAGCTATGGACGTCATACCTATTTTGTACTTGCATTGCAGTCTTTGCTGTAGGCATATTCGACAGGACTTGCAGTCCACCTTCGAGTGGCCTGAAGCCAAACTGAGCCTGCTTTGTCACACGGGCAACAGCAAGGTCAATGACACATAATTAAAATCTGAACGCTAAACCCTGCTGAAGCCCTAAGACTAAGAAAGAATCTCCTATCTCTGGAAGTAACCTCCCCAAACCTGCAAACTCTCCCATGCAAAGGTGCTCAGAATCCCCGTCCTAATTACCCCGGGTGCCGTAGACTGGAAGACCCAAATCGTTGACGATCCGAGTGGCTGGACAGGGAACGATAGGCTTGCAAACATACTCACAATAAAAATCCCCAAACCCTTCACCCTAGTCTCCGAAAGCCCTCAACCCCACAAAGCCCTGAACCGCACTCCTGAACTCTAGACATGCCAGGTCACCAGTCGCTGCTGCATCAGCCCTCCGTGGATACATGGCTGTAATCCTACCCAAGGTTTGGGGTTACCGATGCTCTAAACCACTAACTGTACGGGAGCAACGACTTACGTAGTCAATTGCAGAACTCTTCACTTTGTGCGTTTCGGTAGGCACTAAACCTGCAAGTAAATGGGAGTTTCCGAAAATTAGGGGTACCTTGTTTTGGGGTCCTTATTATAAAGATCCTACTATATAGGGTGCTATATCAGGGTCCCCTATTTTCGGAAACCCCCAAGTGGGCCACAGAGCCCAAGGCCCTGAAGGCAGACAGCTTTTCTTCTCGAAGGTGCGATATCCTGCGACGGATTTTCCTGAATTATGAAAGATACTGGGCTCTCTGAGTGGTCCTAAACCGCCTAAGCCTTTAAGATTCCAGATTTTCAAAGTTGCATATGGGAGTTTCCGAAACTTAGGTGGGGTGCTTGCAATATGTTACAACAAGGATCCTACTGTTTATGGTGCTAAATTAGGGTCCCCTATTTGCGGAAACCTCCATATCGGCTGCTGAGGAGTCGCTGGCGTATCGGCTGGGATGTGACTGGAGGCCCCGTCGGGGTCTATGATGGGCCAGCCGCAGCTGCTATGGTAGTTCCCTGAACCCCAAACCCCATGAGTTGAGGCTCTTGTAGCAGTACTTCCTGGCGTTGACAGAAGAATTCGGGTCTTTGTTCAGTTAGAGAGAGAGAGAGAGAGAGAGAGAGAGAGAGAGAGAGAGAGAGAGAGAGAGAAGGAGAAGGTAGCTTCACTCAGTTGCAAGGCCAGGGTCGTCTTCAATGTCTCAGAATTTCTGTTCCTAACACGGCAACCTCTGTCTTGAACACCCGAACTTGTCATTCCTCGTTCTGCGACAGAAAACAAGCCGCAGGTAGTGAAGTCACGTCTGCGCAGACACCCGAAGAAGCCCCAAATCCTTGCCTTCGGCTTGCCAAGAACCCTGACTGGTAGATGTCCCCAACGTTAGGCCTTTAACCCAAACCATGAAAGGGGGAACCGAAAGTTGTCGGAAGCCCCTATACTACACTGCGCTCCGACCCAACTCGTGCTGGGTCCCTGAGAGTTCTCCGGGTATCCTCGAAAGCCCAGACCTTGAATCCTGAAAAGCGGCAATACCCTCAGCCCGGGACGCAAACCGTGAATTGTCGCAAATCAGAAAGACCTAGCTACGTTTGGACTAATCTGCCGTCGATGGGAAGCAGGTTCAATTGTAATCTATACGGGTGTAGATGCCGCATCGAGAGGCTTGCTTTTGCTTCACGATTTCGTCGCCCTCCCAATTGCCTCCTGGCGTGTGGCGATTTCCAAGTGGAGCTCAAGTCAAGGGTTTCGTTTGACATCTGGCGATTCCTGGTCAGGTAGGGACCGGGATTCCTTTCTTTGGGGTCCTTAGCGTGTGCTATAGAGACAGATGCTATGATTTTGTTAGGGTGTTGTTCACGGGGCTCCAGGCTGTCGGGAACGTTGTCGTGCGCGAGTCAGAATACGGCTGCACGCATGAAGCTGCAGGGTTTTCAGGCTTCAGATTTTTTGGCTTTCAGTGCTTTCTGGGGGCTCACGGAATTCAGGATTTGGAGCTTAAAGGGGCTCATGGTATGGTGACACCAGGTTGGGTTTTGGGGTTCTAAGGCTTCTTAGCCCAGGCTGTGTTTCAACCTCCTCCGACTCCTTTTGGCTACGCGATGGAGTGGCTTGGAGCTTTTGCCTACGGGCTTCGAAGAGATTGATTGTTTCGGAGTGTTTGCTCCCAGTCACAGATGACTCTTTGGGCCGTAGCTTGTGAAGTTCTTTATGCCGGGAATGTCGCCATGAATGGTTCTGCGAATTGTAGTGGAGTGCGAGTTCACGATGTTCCCCCAAGTCTACCTTTCTACGGGAATTTACAAGAAAGGTCGATGTAGGGTCCTAAGCAATGCTGGGTTTTTAGGGCTACAGGTAGTACCGAAACCTTAAGCTGAGAGTGAATGTGCGGCACTGCTGATGAAGAAAGTCCTGCATCACCCATAGCCGCAGTAACACATGCAGGTCACCATATCCATAAGTCTCATAGTTTGCGAATCATATTTCACCACCGTGCAGCAGTAAAGTGCACCGGGTGTATGGTGTCTTAGGCTTTCTTCAGACCCGGCGAAGTCCCGTGTAGATTGTCCCACATAGCTTCAAGCCATTTTGCACTGTTTTTGCATCTTTGCCATTATCCGAAAAGAATCGACGCTCAGGGCGTGCGCTGCAGTGGTCCCGAGAAAGTTATGCATCGCTTGTGGCATGCTCCCTTCCATAGATTGTTACACAATACAGCTGTTGACGTTCACTGCAACAAAATGCACAAGCTCCTAAACACTGCCTGTCAGCGCCAATAGTCCGTGTAAGCAGATGATCCAAGCGGATCACGAACGGGGGTTGCATTATTTTGTAACATGACATACGACCTACTCCCACTGTCCACTGATCCTTCAAGCAAACCCTCAACACCTCAACAACTCATAAACCTCTTATGGGGCCTTCACAAGACTGTAGAATCTTTTTTCAATTCCTTCAATGTGAACCTCCCGCTGCATAGATGCCATACGTCGGGCTTATGCCTGCAGAACCCAAGAAAGCCCCTTGGGCTTGATCCAAAGACTTGCTAGCCCTAAGCAATCCCCAGATGCGAATAAACAACAAAGACAGAAGCACAAGCCAGGGAGAGAGGAAGATGCCAAGTACATGGGGGGTTTCCGAAAATGGGGGACCCTAATATAGCACCCTAAGTAGTAGGATCCTTATTCTTCTCGTTCTCTTTCTTCCCTTCGGTCCGTGGCGGTTTCGCCTGTGGGGCTCAGGGTTTGGAAAAATCGGGTGCCTGGGCATTCAGGGGACCGCGTAGGGTCCAGGAGAGGTGGAATTGAGTTAAGCGCTTAGGCTTTAGAACTTTAGGGTTAGTTTGAAATAAATCAGCGCCGCATGGTGCGCGCAGCTTCCGAAGCGCGTGAACATGTTGTTGCAGTGCACCGAATGGAACCGCCGTTCATAAGGGTGTCTGGCTTCGTATGGTTTTGCATCTCGGGGCTGCAGGGTTGCGTCCAGGATCTGAAGTGGTTCGGGGAATGCTGTCAAGCGTCAACTCGGCGTCAACCCTAGGCTAAGCTGGCCCTGAACCCTAAACCTAAAACTGTTAGCTATACATTACCCAAGCTACTCTCTCTCTGCTCTCGCGCCGCCCGCACCCCTGCACACGAAGCAACAGAATGTCTCCCCACGTGGGAGCCTGATAAAGAAGACGCGAAAAAGCAAGCTAATTCTAAGGCCTTCAAATGCGGGACCCCGGGTTGATAGAAGTCACCCCCCCTTCAAATGTTGAAACGTGCATGGATTGGTTCAGGTGGCTGTCGGCTGTTTTTTGGACCATGAACATCGTGGCGTCCATGACGGTCGGCTTTACGCGAAATGGTGTCACAGCAGCTCAACCTGCAAATGCATAAGTTACGTAGACCAGGATTCTGGAGAACTGTTCCCTAACATCTCTCAGCCCTGAACCCCCTCCCTGCTCCAACAAAGACAAAGGCCCTTTTCCTGCCTTCTCCGGGCAGCAATCCCCAACAAACTCTGCGTCTTCCTAGAGCTGAGGGTTCTGGGTTTGAGGCTCAGCCGGAAAGAAGGACCCTCCTGGGAGAACGCAATAACTGGGGTCTAGCTCATGCTGAAATGATCACACAACCCTCGCCATGACATACCACCAGAGCACTCCGTGATCGGAAGACCGGGAGAGATTTCACTTCTAGAGAGCGTCTACCCCAGGCCATCAACTGCACAGTGAAGAGTCAGTGAAGCCTTCCGGTCTTGTCTTCAAAACCTTGGATCCTGTCCTTCGAAGGTTGTTATATATCAAATCATACCGACGCGGTTGTTTTCGATTCGAGTCTGGTGGGGTTGTAGTTCCCCATAAAAGACAAATAAGCATCCTTCACACCTAACTTCCATGACATGGGCCTTGCTTTCCCAAGTCGAACTCCATTCCCATCGAGCCCCAGTTATTTTGAGAAACTCGGTTCCAGTTACTTTACTCAACAGGGTCGAGGGTTCAGACTCTTAAGATATCGTAAACAGGAAGGCATAGTGTGTTCTGCATGTGCCTCCTATGGCAGCTCAATTAGCAGCAGCTCAGTCGTAAGCCTTTGACTTTCTCGGATCCATATGAAAGGTTCACTTTTGGTGAGTCAGGGAACTCAGCAACATGGGCTAGGTTTCTGAGCAAGAAACCAAGCCTTCTTCCTAACCGGATCAAAGGACCCGGCGCAGAGGCGTCGAATAATTGTGTAGATTGCTTCTTAGGCTTCCTGCATACACCTGAACTGAAGCGGAGGGACACCCATAAAACCTCGCTTGGATCTCAATCAGGGAGTTGAGAAACACGGCCCCGAAGCTGATGCGACCCTCTAAACCTGAGTTTTAAGCCAGCCCCCAACGTCTCCGTACTTCATGTCTCAAGAAGTGTTACGTTAAGAAGACCTCTCATCACAGGTCATGGAGTTCCCGGAAATCCTGAAGAACTACCTCCGGAGAGGGCTTCGGGTCTAGGGCAGTCCAGGGATTTTGGGTCTCGGCCAATGGTTCGAGGAACGTTGTTGCTCGCTGTTTTGGTGGATTCTCCCTTTCCTTCTCGCTTGCTCTCTCCGTCTCTCCTTCTCTCTCTCGCTTTCTTTCTCTCTCTCTCTCTCTCTCTCTCTCTCTCTCTCTCTCTCTCTCTCTTCCGGTCCGTAGTGCGTTAGCTTGAAAGATGGGGCAGCAACCTTCACTCCAAAACCACGCCGATGCGCTCAACATTTGCGGATGATATCGGTGCAGTGGTGGAGGCGGTGTTCATGGCGATCATGACAAATCGAGAGAATACGATGATGATGATGACGTCGATGGCCGTAGGCACCACCACGGCCGTCTTCATCATCACAGTCGGTAAACTATACCTGAGTGCAGCAGCTGTAGACATAAACACATGTAAGCATGCGACGCATGCACGGGCATCGAACGCGTGTGCGTGTGTAATCCTCTTAGGCAAGAAAGCAGGCAGGAAGCCAGGCGAGCAGATAGCTGGGTAAGTCAACAGGTCAGTAAGTAAGCAGGTAATGCATAGGGAAGGACTGAAGGACTGGAGGATGTATGTATGCATTTATGTGTACATGCACGCACGCACACACGGCACACGCATACACAAAATCACAGGCCGACACGCGCGCACACGCTCACAGAAACTTTAGTGCATGCATACATACATGTATGCACAAAAGTAAGCAAGTTCGCAAGCAAACACGCATACATGCATTCATGCGTCCATACATACCTCCTTGAGCAGGACATGGTTCATCCCCGACGCCGCCTTGGTACTGCTGGATTGGCTCAGCCGCGCCGGCATCAACAGCCGTAGTGCCAAGCGTGAGTCCTAAACCCTAAACCTCTCGCCCCTGAAAAACATGAAGGAGCATCTCAACAGGCAGTCTTGAGCCTGCCCTAAACCCTTGCACCCCGAAACCGCAGTTCTAATGGTAAACGACGAGCACGTCCGTCCTGCGTCAGCAGGACCAGCTGACCAGCTTTGCACTCATTCTGTCTGCTCTCCAGTACCACAGATAGCTTTTGATCCTTTCCGGTGTCAACAAGCCACCAGTAGTGGTTTCAGTCCGACATTTGTCAGGGAAGCCTCTCCTTGGATCTTGGGGAGCTTAGCTTTTGGGTTTTGATGACTTCAGGCGCAAGATTTATTACGAAGGGTCCCTTGGTGTCGGACCAAACTGAATCGGATTTCTTCTTGATATTGTGTTTGGGCTCCACCGACTCGAGTGAAGGGATCAAAAAGTGGATTTGCATACTGTGTGGGCTCCTGAAACAGAAGATTCCCCTTGGCATCCACGTAATGCTGTCTTGTACATGTTACGTCTTACTGCATATACTCTATGTTAGACATTATAATAAAAGGGCCTTAATTGCCTGTACTATTTTGGGGGATCCTATGGGCGATGGGCCCCAAAACCCTATTCTGATTATTGAGGCCCCTTCAATCAAGGCACTTTCGGCCTTCCGCACGACAACGTCTACCTAGGACCTTCTAGCAGGATGTATGTGGAGAGCAGCTAAGCATTGAACGCGCAACCATGAGATATAAAGCCCAAAGAGAGCTTGGTGCACAAGAACGCCGACCTAATCTTACAATTGCTACAGACAGTATAAGCAATGCTACGAAAACGCCTAGTGCGACTGACACACAACCTGATACTGCCAGGCTTGGGGTGTGGAACAAGCCGAAAACACCCGAAATCCTCGCTGAAACGAGGTCTGGCACTCCCCGCAGAACAGTCCATGGACGAGTCGACGGAGTTTCTTCGCCTAGTGCGGCTGCTGCGTATCATACGCCCCTGGGCCGCAGGTAGAGGCTTCAGGACGCAAGTTCTTGGGTCTCCGGATTTAGGGTTTGAGGCCCTTTTGGGGTTTGGGGTTTCGTGGGCTTGGCAGTCACTGCTGCTCGGTTGAGTTTACAAAGGTTGGGGTGTGGTGATTTCTTGTCTAAGGTTCAGAGTTTAGGAGTTTGGGTTTGGGGCTTCAGTGCTACATGGTGACTGAGGACCAATGTAGACCCGTCATTAAGCACTACCTCCGCTCGAATTTTACACGATTGCCATTCGCAGTTTCTGGCCGTGCAGGATGTTAAGGGTTCAAGGCCTCATACCAAGATTCGAAGGGCTTCTGGTCTGCTGGAGCCCCTGAACAGAGCCTTGCTGACAGGATGGGGCCAACAACTCTGGAACCCAATCTTTAATCCCCATTACCCTATGCAATCGTGTCAGCATGTACCGCCTGCAGCCTAAATGTGCATGGCACGTGCCTCAGCACACCCCCGCGCAAGTTGAACTGGATGAGCTGGAATAGCTGTATATTAGTGTATATAGCTTTAATTGTAGATCCTCGCTGTTGATGACGGACCAGGCATTTTACGACTGGTACGGATGCTCAAGCTGCGGACACTGATGGCTAATTTCCACGATTTGATCAACTCGGAGTACTGGAGCCTTGTAGCGTTCCTTGATGCAGTCAGCCGAGTTCTCAGAGAGCCGGATGTGAGGGTATGCTCCTTGTACTTCTTGCTTCCAGACCTGTACGTCTTGCCGAAGGTTTGTGGGCTAGCGATTCGGAAGGAAGAGGAAGGTTTCGTCGATCAGTGAGTAGCGTGAGGGTTCACAGGCCAAGCAGTGAAGCAGATATCTTCCTTTCGTTGCTCAGCGTTCGTGCAGCCACAAGAATGGACCTTTTTCCTCGTAGACAAACGATAGACGTATCGTTGGTTCATTCATTTTCGTGTTTATTGTTTGGGCACAAACCACAAGGCATTGCTGGCCAACAGACTGTGGGATTCATTGGTTGGTTGGTAGGGTGCTTGCTTGATCGTGGTGTCTTGTGTGATGAGTTGATTGGTTAGTTGCTTGACTGCTTGTTGCTTGACTGGATGCGCGAACGAATCTTTCAAGGGTCCGAACTGATTGACTGACTAGTCGGGGTGATAAAAAAAGCTGACAAGCCAAGCCAGGAAGAAGCCAACCTAGACATAGCCTACATTTGCACAATAGCTGAAAAGCTCGAAGGAACATGAGTCAAATCGTCACCTTCATGCTCGGCATCAACCATTTGGTGGCTTGTGGCTTCTACGGCTTGACGGAGCTCACTCAAGCCACCGAGGACAGGCTTTGCAAATTATGGGGAAAGGCTGTCGAACTAGGGGGGGCAACGCGCTTGTGGTCCGCATGTTGCGGACTCTTCTTCTTAGAGTGGTCACCTGCTGTCTTGAGCTTCCTGCACATGTTGGCTTTCACGAGGCAGAGACATGTGTGCGCGCCGGTAGCTGATAGACTGCCGGTCGCACACGGTGGAGGAGACATGTGTTGCTATGCTACAGCCATCTTTGTTGTGAACTGCATCCGAAGCTTATCATGCGCTGAAGATGAGCGGAACCCAGTGTCCGAAGACTGCTCCAAGCCAGTGGCGCATCGACAGCACCCACCTAGTCGTGCCAACTTAGCAGAGCACGCACCAAGACACAGCTACAGACCGAAAAGCTACTTCTAATGTCGATGATCCGAGGCGGAACGAACCCTCAACCCAAAAGCCTCCAGAGACTAAGACGAAATCCCAGAGGCCCCGAGTCTTCCAGGGTCTTGTGGGGCTTTAAACAATAACTAATTACTAACTTCCCCATCAAGATCACCTTGTAAAGCATTTTACTAGAATATACCCCAGAGGATGATGCTATAATATGACTCTAATAACGCCTCATTAAACGTTGTCATGGCCAGGACCGTGAAGCTTGAGCCAGGGGTTGGGGTCTCTACTCAAGTATCTTATCATTCGTAGTTCCTCAAGACCCGAGATATGGTGCCGGGTTTCTAGGGGTTTTGGCGAACGCTGTGCTGCAAGCTGACCTGCAACTCCAGCCCCTCAGCTCCAAAAACTCGAACCCAGAACCCGAAGGGGCCCCCGGAATTCGGTGAGTGGCCACAGGAGACGTCCTGGGTGAGGTCGTTTGGCTTTGAGGGCACCTCGTCCCTTGGCTTCTTCAGCCTTTACGCAAAGTGCCCATGAATTTTCAAAGTCCTTGCAGCTAGTACATACTTTGGCCTACAAGGGTTTTTTCTGAGCAGCTACTGAGTAAACTACTTGTGCGGACCCTCAATTCGGACCTCTAGGGTTTGGGGTTTGGCGAAATGTGGGAGTTTCCGCAAATTAGGGGTACCTGATTTTGGGGTCCTTATAATAAGGATCCTACTATTTAGGGTACTATATTACGGTCCGCGATTTTCGAAAACTCCCATGTGGGCCTGCCTAGGCCTATCAGGTTTAGGGTATACCTTAAACCCAAGTAACCTACCTTTGGCACCTAAATAAAGAAAACATATTTCGGGGCCCTAAAACGGTATGTTATTTGGGGTTAAGGTAGGGTTTAGCTGTCCTTCCGGAGCTCGGTCCAAATGGAGAGGCCCTTGACTCCTCACGTAGTCCGCAATGCAGGGGTCAGAATAACTAGGCAATAGTCCCCCTTTATAGCCCCTATTGTAATGATTCATGATGGTTAAAAAAATATATATCTGTATCCCGAAAGACCCGCTCTGATTAAGAAGGCTATTTTGCAGCGGCCCATGATCCTCCTTTCAAGCAGACCATAGATGCATAGAGTAATTTAAGCAAACATGCAACAAGGCCTGGTTCAATATCCCATATACATATATATATATATATATATATGTACATGTACATGGATTCGAAATTGCAACTCGGCCTCCTCAAGGGCCGATGTCGGCTCTGCCCTGGTTGTGTAAATTTCTGTCAAAACCTCTAACCCCTAGCCATTTTGGCTCAAGCCATTTTGGCTCAAGGCCGTGCTCCCGCTGTGGGTGTAGAGGCCGCTACAGGGTAGGCAGTCCTTGATATTCCCCCCCGTACTTACGACTTGCTTGTGCCTGCTACTGCTTGCCTCTTCTACTGTAGTTACTGCGGTGAAGGGTGCGCTGCGAGTCTTTCTTCTTCTGCTTCGGAATTGAGGGATCTTTTGGCGATTGGTCTCGTCCCTGTCTTGAGCCATGTCTGATGCTTTGTCTGGACTTAACGCAAGGGTCACTGCTGGGGCAAACAGGGCTGAACCACCTCATCTTGAACCCTTCGAGGATTGGAAACAAAAGATGGGTTGGGTTGACGATCGTAAGCCTATTCCTTTTGTAGATACGGAAAGCTCAGGTCGGCCCGACTCTCAGGCCACTCAGCCTGCCTCCCCGAACAGTATTGATGCTGCAAGAGAAGCTCTTACGGCCGCATTAGGCGGACCAGTTCATGTAGGCGAATTGGATGGTCATCCTACTTTCACCTTCCCGGCACCTAATGAAATGGCTGCAATGGTAGTGGATACCAACTTTGCTAGGACAGCAGACGAAGCCACCCTTCCGCCTCCCCTAGACTCCCCCCAGAAGAAGCGCTCCAGCCCGGATTTTATTGCGGAATTTGATCTCACGGTCAATGATGAAGCAGATGACGACGAACTTCATCATATTGATGGTAAGTCCGTAGGACCTCCCGACTTTGTTGCAGGTAGCACCCCCCTCCCTTCTGCACCACCTGTTCCTCCCCCTAGGCATACGGAGTCTCCTGATTTCGGTAAACCCGCGGGTCCTACCACCCTTGCCCCGCCGCAGTTTGCAGGTAACCTACAGTCCGGTTTGCCCTCTCCCCGTAGAGGACCTAGAAGAAATGCTAGTGCCCGTGCTGATACTGTGGGTCCCCCAGGCTTGAGTGAGGCTAAACCGGCAGCAGCTGAACCAACCCATGAACTCCCACAGCCCCTGCCTGACAACCCTCAGCATGCACTTCCAAGCAACCCCCCGTGGCTGTCTTCGCTGCAGGCAGACTTACATAAGCTGGTGTCACAACAGGACCGTTTTCTTTCCGAACTCTCGTCATGCACGGAAGCTACCAGAGCAAACTCGGCCTGCATCAACACGCTACAGACTAGAACTGAGGCACATGAGAAGATGCTTGCAGAGACGGAGGGACGGATTACCCGCTTGGAACGAGAGCTATCGGCGCTTAAGTCCCGACCCCCGTCGCCCTCTACCCCCCGCAGTATGGGCGGCAACACTCCCAGGGGTGGTGGGTTGGGGTCCACCACTGCTTCCAGTATCGGAGGCAAGCCGATCGATGACTTACAAATAGTAATCGGCGGGTTTACCAATGCTAAAAGGGCAGACCTACAGCAGGAAGTCCGCGAGTTCTTCGCATCCCATGGTGGTCCCCAGGTGCTCAAGGAAGTCTATGTGCCGTACTTGCGCTCAAACATTGTGCGTATCGAACTGAACTTCCCTCCTGTTGCCGACCTGAGTGCACGCCGAGCTATGCAGACACAAGTATTACAAGTACTCAAAGACACCTATGCGACGAAAATCCAAGGCCAGGGGGGCAATCGTTTGTGGTTCCAAAGGAACCGATCACCGGAGGATCGACAAATGATACGTAGTATTCTGCGCACCCGTGAAATCATGCACAAGCTTGCGTCGCCGGAATCTAGGACGGAATTCGAATGGAAAGGACGAGTTTACCTAGACGGGGAGAATACTCTTCCATGCAGCACAGCGCACGCCGCCCGCTGAACACCACCCACTCTCTGATGTACGAGGGTCGCACAATGGTTGGTACATAGATGTGGCACATGTAGCTCGCCTTTTAGGCTGTGGAGTGGACGAGGTTATGCAGACCTGTGATGCGTAGGAAGGTGGCAGAGACAGGGACACGTGCGAAACTGGGGCAGCTAAACATGCCTCTCGAAGCAGGCCGGTTTTCGATGCTCAGGCCGTGCATTGGAATGTTCGTGGTAAATCCGTTCAAGAGGTTCTAGACACTATGCAAGGAATAATTCATCCACCAGACTTTGTTCTGCTGCAAGAAGTTGGGGGACTTGGAAAAACTCCTCCTAATTCGGCACTCTCCTTTACGGTTTGGTCAGGTAGCGAGAAATACTCTTGCTTTCATGTTGATTCAGCTCAAAGTTTTCGACATGTGTGCATCCTCATTCGACACCCTTTTTCGGAGTACGTGCAGTCTACTTACGTTTCTTCGGTTGGTCTTGGCGTTTACCTTAAGCCAACAGGCGGGCGACCTATCTTATTGTGTACCTTCCACCTACCTCATTCCAAACGTGAGGATGCTAAAACAGTATGGGAAAAAGGCACCCCTGAAATTTCGGACATCCTCCACGTAGCAGGGCCTCACGACTTGGTTCTTCTTTCAGTTGATCTTAACCAGGACTTCACATTGCATTATGACACTTTCGCTGGCATGCCACACTTCAGAACCGTCATAGCACAACATGATCTGCGCATGCTTCCCACCGAGGGTAATACATGGTTTGCTAGGGGATCCTCCTCCAGGATTGACTTTGTTTTCTTCCGTGGATTAGGGATGTGTACCTCTATTGAAAACCGTTCTGATTTGCGCCTAGGGCTTCCCTCCGACCACAACGCCCTCCTAGTGAACTGCTCAGCGAAAGACCCTTTAGCGAGACCACAATATCGTAGAACGTTGTGTGGGGTCTGGGATACGGATCCGCGACGGCTCGAAGCGGCTGCTTCCTGCCACCAAGCCTTCGACCTGGAAACCTTGTATGCACTCAGGGATAAAGCTGTTGTTAAGCCTCCCAGTCTTCGGTATAAAGATCCTCTGCATGTGCATGAACTTATACGTCAACGTAAACAGTCATCCGACCCGAATGCACGCTCCAAATTAGTTGCATGTATACATGAAGCACGCAAACAAGCCAAGCTAGAGCACAAAACCGAACTCTTGCAACGTGCTCAAGCAGGGGACAGATCCGCCATATCGTTCCTTAAGAGGAGCTCAGCCACATCGGCGACAGATGCGGGCTTCCTTCAACGGGCAGGGGGAGCAACTAAGGCACAGATGGATGTGAAGTCGTTTTATCAATATAAGTACATGCAAGAGGACGTTACCCCAATCTCCCCTATTGTCGAAGAGCTTCTGCGCAAACACAGTCACGCCCGCTATGAACCTATCACCCTTGAGGAGATATCCAAACATTTGTGTAAGTTGGATAACAAGACTTGCACCGGTGAGGACGGTGTTCCGTATAGCCTGCTCAAACAACTGATGCTCACAGATCTGAAGCATTCGTTCTGCAGCTTTCTAAATGACACTATGTATACAGGGAACATCCCACCAGAATGGAAAACTGGAAGGATTAGTTTCATACCCAAGATCAAACTCCCGACTAGTCCCGCTGACTTGCGTCCTATATGTCTCACTAGCACCGTGGCCAAGCTTTTCGGTCGCATCCTAATCTACAGAATTCGTAAATTTGCTCCTGCATGCAACCCCCTCCAATTAGGCTGCCACCCGGGCAGACAAGCTATGGATGGAATTAACACGGCGCGGGCCGCAATATCGGTCAGCAAGCGCTCGAGCAATCCCCTGTGTTTTGCAAAACTCGACATTAAAGCCGCATTCGATTCGTTATCCCATAGGGCAATCGCTCATTATCTTCGTGAACTAGCTCCCTGTAAAGAGGCCCTGGCACTTTGGCACCTATCCACTGACAATGAAGTTATACTGGAGGTAGGAGGGCAGTCCTGGAAACAATCACTAGGCAAAGGCATACTTCAAGGAACATCTTACAGCGCTGAGCTCTTTTCGAGAATTATTGCATGGACACTAGATTCTGTTATCCGCGACTTACAACAAGTGGCTCCGGTTAACATTTGCGGGGTTTCTTTCCCAGCTCTCCTTATATATGCTGACGACATCTTACTTTTTGGGACCTGCCCACAAGATCTTCAGCATAGACTCCGCAGAGTCCAGGGCGCTTTGGCAGCCATTGGTCTCCATATTAACATCTCTAAAAGCTCTGTGCTGCAAGGCCCCATAGGCGAACACTATGGCATTTGGGGGATGAACACGGTAACCCCCCTCCGTGTCTCTGAGACCTTCATTTTTCTAGGGGTTCCCCTGGGGTTCCAAGTGACGGGTGAAGACACCCTTTTCCATT